AAACAGACCATATCTATCTAATGTTCATCTAAAGTTCATAAGAGTACGTGACAGTCCCTTTATGGTGTCCATATTTTTTTGTCTATCATACCCTCTGACCGACATACATATAATTTTAATCTATAAGATTCAATTGATTTTAAAAAATAACAATTGCTAAGGTACTTTACTAAAGACTTCACTTATTCATTCTATTATTATATGTTTTTCTACTATTCGTGCTTATTAGGTATACAAGTATTAAGTTTGTACATCGTACTCTTACTTTTTCTGTATTTCGGTATTAGAATCCCAATCCCTGAAAACCAAAAACATCAATTTCCTTTAAAATAATATGTTAAATAATATTTGTATATAAAATATAAATATTAGGTACATTTTGGTATTTAATAAAAATTAAGAGAAAAGATAGAAGCAATTACAATTTTTTTTACAGCCCATAATTACTTACATAATCGATTAGGTAGTTCTATGTTATATTTGTCATGTTATATTTTATAATTTGTATAAGTATACTATGTTAAAAACAATATAGTTATAGAGCTATACCTATTGAAACATAAACTACGCAATACATAAGCTCAGTTGTTATGGTAGATGTGCAGTATACTAGTAGCTGGGAAACATTGAAGCTATCGATTAATGGTCAGTAGAGCCAACTCTTTTCAGTAAAACAATATTAAAACGAAATAGTTCTATAGCAACATATAACTAGGTATACTCAAACGCAATAATATAATAGATCAAAGGAAAAATGTAAACATAGGAAAATAATATTTTAAGCTAAACATAATTACTAATATTTGCCTACTTAGATACAGTCGAACTTTGTTAACTTGAATTTTATTAAGGGGACGTTACAGTGTCATTTGTTGTCTCTGTCTTACAAGTGCGTAACATAGCAAATTTTATGCTCAGCAGAACACGTTTTCCCATTAGTTTAAAAATTAGAACGAATTGACCACTTATACAATTTAAAGATAAGATTATTATCTAGACAATGACATATACTTTTTATTATAATTTAATTTTAAAGCGATATTTATGTGTATTTTAAAATTGTAAACTATTTGTACATCTTAAAATACTCACAACTCGCTTTAAAATTAAATTATAATAAAAAGTCTTTGTCATTGTCTAGATAATAATCTTACCTTTAAATTTTATAAGAGGTCAATTTAATTCATACTAATTTTTAAACTAACGTATTCCTCTGATCGTAAAATTTTCTATGTTACGCCACTTACGCACTTATTGTAAGATGGAGACAACAAATGCCACTGTAATACGACCCCTATTAACACGATTTTTTTAATTATTGCCAGAGCGTATTGTTTCTCTCAGACCCACGCGCAACATAGATTATAAAGACGCATTCGATTAAAATTGTTTCTTATGATTGTTGAATAAGTTTAGAGTAAAATTACAAATTACAAAAATTTTAAAGGTTAATAGATAAAACTGTTTTTGGGTTTCTATTTAATTATTATTAGATTCTGAGTGGAACGATGAATGTATTGACAAATAAATTGACAAAAATTGACAAAATATGAAAAAATCACGAAAATTAGCAAATTATTTTGAGTTAAGAATTCGTAAAAATTTTTCTTTTTAAATCTAAGATTTGAAAATGTAATACAAGATTCCTTATAAGATTATCTACCTTTATCAAAAAAAAAAAGTCTAAAAGAAAGTCAAATTAAATTTTTATGAGCATTTGAAATTCAAATTTTTACAACATTGGATATTCACTTATTGAGTTCTCATGTAGTGATTTCCTTATCTTGTTGTAATTCAAAAACGAATAACTGTAGATACATGAAAATTTCACTGAATGTAAAATATTTTGACTATTTTTGAGCTGTTTAGTGTTTACGGACATTTACAGTTTTCAATTTTTTTTAGTTTTTTTTTCTATAAATATCAATTAAGTTTTATCTGTTGGGCCAAAAAGTGTAAAAATTTGATACAAGGCTCCTGATATATTGTTACAATAGTAATTGAAAAATATTAAAAATACATAGGCACGGTTATTTTTTATAAGCATTTAAAGATCGAATTTTGAAAAAATTTATCAAAATCTCGAAAATTATCAATCATTGTAATTAATAAATTATAAAATGTTCAGTTTTAATAGCTAAGGATTGCAAATTTAAAACAAAGGTTCTCATAAATAGTTCATACTGTAAAAAAATATCTAAAAAATATATGAACACAGTTATTTTTTACAGACATTTTAAATTCAAATTTGGACGTAATTGTCGTAATTACATAATAAAAAACCTAGAATAACTATTTTAGTTATTTTGTTGTGATTGTATAATATTATTCGTGGGTACTTGAAACTTCTAAAGTACCTATACTATGAGAGTAACAGGGACCAGGGTTTGTTGTTGGTGTATAACGCATTATAAGTACCTAATAGATATTGTGATATGATTAATTTGGAATTCATTATAGTTAAATTTTTTTTAATACCATATAGAGAAGTATATTATAATATGTCTTATACCTAGAAGGACATACCGTCTCCGCTCAGAATCGTTTTTCTTATACAATGATATAATATCATTGAATTCAAATGCAGTGGCGTGGCGACAAGATTTTTATGTAGGGGCGAATACATTTTTTTGGTACCCAGTTATAGTTTTATAGGTACACAATTATATATATATTTTGTTCATGGTGTTCTTACTGTTCTTAGTGTTCATACCTATTCAATATCACCACTGTGTGACCTAAACACCCACCCACCCTTGAATTTTACTAGGGGCGGTTGCCCCAAAAAATATCCTTCTCCACGCCACTGTTCAAATGTAACACCATCCATTATACAGTGACCCACTTGTAACCTACTGTACAGCAGAGCGACACCCACTTTCCCACCTTTTTTTATTTCTATTTAGACTTGTTTTATTCAATGAAGATTTTTTTTATTGAATATAAATTTTTTTTATTTAATATAGCGAATACAGTGACTACAGTGACAACAGTGACTACAGTGACTACAGTGAATTCCAAAGAATTCTGGACTTTGTAACCTCAATACCTACGTATTTAAAAATTCACAAAATTTCGAGTTATTAAGTCGAAATTTCGTATTTATAAGTCAAAATGTTGAGTTGATAAATCAACATTTTGAAGATGGAAGTCAAAATTCCGAGTTCTTAATTCGAAATGCTTAGTTTTGAAGTCGAAATTGTAACAAAAATCTTTTTTGCGTTTGACACTACTGCGCTTCCGTAAAATAAAAATTTATATTTATTTCAAATGCTCATAAAAATTTAATTTGACTTTCTTAATTCTTATAGACATTTTTTTTTTGATAAAGGTGAGAGATATACTTAAGGTAAGATAATCTTATAAGGAATTTTGTATTACATTTTCAAATTTTAGATTTAAAAAGAAAAAATTTTACGAATTCTTAACTCAAAATAATTTGCTAATTTTCGTGATTTTTCCATATTTTGTCAATTTTTGAACTTTAAATGCTTATAAAAAAAAATTGTGACTAAGGATTTTTAATATTTTTCATCTGTCTTTGAAACAATATACTAGGAGCCTTCTACTAAATTTTCAAGCTTTATAGCAACCAACAAATAACATTTTATTGATATTTTTAGAAAAAAATAAACGGAAAATGAAAATGTCCCTAAACAGTTCAAAATAAATCAAAATATTTTGAAAATGTTATCGTGTATAGAAAATGCAAATATAAACAACCAGTGAAAATTTCATGTAGGTATATACGTTAATTTGTTTTAGAGTTACACCAAAAACCAAAATCGAAATTTTTGGAAAATGGATTTTGCGTAAAAATTCCCGTTTCTCCTTAATTTTTATGTTGTTTTTCCCGGCGCTTGTGAAAACTACTGAGAAATTTTTACTTTTGAACCCCCAAACTCCAAAGTACCAACTAGATTCACTTTCCTATCAGAAAAGATACTGTTGAAGAAAATCCAAGCACTTTTACTGTCCTAAAACGTGATGACAGAAACACAAAAAAAAAAAAAATTAAAAAAAAATTAAAAAATTAAAAAAAAAACACTCATCATAGTAAAATCAATACATTCGTCGTTCCACTCAGAATCTAAAAATCTTAATAAAAAGTTTATATTTGATAAAAAAAAATATATTTAATCAAAAAGTTAGGTTAGGTTTAATCAAATTATTGAATATATTTTTTTTTTTATTAAATACAGATTTTTTTATTAAATATAGGTAGATTTTTTTTATCAAATATAGATCTTTCATAATTTGTATTTCAATACAAAAAAGCCATGTAGAATAAAAAACTACTCAAAAAATCTAAATTAAATACAAAAATCCGTATTTAATAAAAAATGTAAATATAATAAAAAACTTTTTTTTTTTTCTTGTTTTAACCGACAACGACGCCGCGGGATCTGCCTTCGCATTGCTTCCGCGGCGCCGCCATCGTTTATTGACAAATATAATAAAAAACTATATTTGATAAAGATAACTTTATTTTTAAAAAAAATATCTATCAATATTTGTTTGATTTTTTCAATTTAAATGTATCCAATACTCCTTGATTGTAATATATAAATTTAATTTAGAAAATAATTATTCAAATTTCCAAAGATGTTCATAAAAATGGAAATTCGTTGAAGCGTTATCTTTATAATACATGGATACCGCTTGGATTGATAACACGATTGTTTTGTTACGCGCAGTTCCATTATCCTGTGTCCATGCGTCCCTAGTGGCGTAAATTCTGTGCAGTGATCGTTATTTGTTTCAGACTTCAGTAATCAGTTATGTTTATTTAAATTTTTACTTTTCAGTATTCTTGCATTTTATAATATTATTATGGTTGATGGTTACGATTGTATCACAATCCACGGAATTAGTAACGCCGTCATTATGACCATTATGTCGGTTGTTCGATAATATAATTTTTAATTTGTTTATCCAACGAAATACCTATATATAATTTTTACGTTGATTGGATAAACAATACTCAATAGTGTATAAGTATGTTGGTTGTACAGAGTATTCTGTTGTGTTACGGCTTTGACTTATTGGAATATTTGAAGTCTATTATTGATCGTTATTTATGCAATGGCGAAACGTCTGATTCGGAGGTAAACAACAAAATTATTATTATGATTATGTACCTACAGTATAAAAATAATAATTTTTATTATATTTTTGGCCGACTATTAGCGATTAGATTTCACTTAACAATAGAATTAATCAGTGACAGTATTATTATTGTAATAACCAAAAGATACTTTCGTACAGATATCTATCATGATTCATTTATTTTTTGATATAATGGATAAGAATTATTAATTGCAATTCTGGATCTCAGTCTGAAGGCTGAGATGCAACAACTTTGATGATGACCTAACCTTTGAGATGCAAATACTTTGGTATTTAGTGGCTGTTATAAAAAAATATTTGTCTTATGTTCTGTCTTTCCATTTATGTTATAGGTATTCTGATTTTACTTTGTTTGGATACTTAATTTTGTATTGCTGCTTATTTTGATAAGGAGTGCTCTGATTTTGTAACAATTAAATGTAAAATAATAATATGTTTAAACAAAAAATAACACTAATAAATTAATAAATATAATATAAATTTTATAAATCGATTCACTGTTAAATTTTTAATGTTATTCTTGTGCAGGTATTTTCAGAATTGGCTTTTAAATTCATTATTTAATTTTCTTAATTATTACATATTATTATATACTTAATTAAAAGCAAAATTAAGGCCATACATGATACATCTCAAGTCAATAAGGAACCGGTCCTTGAATCCCTGCACATTGTCTAAATTGGTCACAGTTCATTATTAAAAAAAATGTAATCAATACAATTTTTGATTGCATCTATTGACTACTTGTAGCATTAGTTGTAATAATGATTTCACTGTTAAGTTAGTGGTCACTATTAGTTATTAATATTAGTACAGCTGACACTGGAAATCTTTATGAAAACGATTATTTTTTATTTCAACAGTTTTTACAAAGGTTTTAAACTTTATAATGGGTTTTTATGATTCTAACATTATTTTAATCAACAAAATTAAAGCAAAGATTTTCAAATATATATTATGACATTATGTAGGTAGTAGCATTTTATTTAAAACTGTGAGGACACTGGCAGTAGTATATAGTTGTGATCGGGAGTAACACGCTACTATATTTGTAGCAATTTACGGAGCGCTGCTGTAATACACCTAATATGGCAAAATAATTAAGCTCGCTAGAAATTTATGGTTTGCGTAGCAAAAATTTACATTATTTTGTCGCTTAGGTACCTTCAACTTGTATTTTGGCGGCAGTTAAAATAGTTGACAACTATTGTATTTATTTATTTATATTTTGTATATTATAATAATGATGAGCTTATTAACTCACATTGTCAAATTCTGTCCAGTGACCAAATTTTAAATCAGTACAAACTATAAACTACCAATAAAATGTTCAGTAAGACATTTTTTAAAAATGTAGCGTAAAATAAGCGCTCTTCATTTAAACAATAAAGTTAGAAGCTGTGTACTATATTAAAAAAAAAAGTAGCAAATAGTGAGCTACTTTTTTTGGGAGGTAGGTGTATCATTAGCGCACTACACAAAACCAGTAGCCTTCTGACCACTGGTACCTATTTATGAAAACATTTTTTACATTTAAGAGTATTGAGAATTATTATTTTATCAGATAATTTAATTAATCTTGAAATTATAGAAAATCAATTAAAACATTTTGTGCTTATTGGAATTGGTATTGCTTATGAACAAATAAAATATAATTCCTCTTTTCTTATTTATTATGAAATATAAATTTAATAATTTTAGGAAGACAAAATAATAGAAATTATCAGTCAACAATCATGTGCATGTACACTGGATGAAAATGGCTTAAAATTTTGGCCACCATTGTATATGCAAAGATACATGGCTGTACAAGAAGTTATTGATCATCCTATTTGGAGTGGTTCAATAAAAAAAGTATGAATATTAGAAATTGATAATTTATAATAATATTACAACATTAATATTTTTAAAATGTAATTCTAGGTTGTTGATTTTGGTTGTTCCGAAATGGGTTTATTTAAATGTATAAAACCAATTCCAGGACTCAACAACATTATGCTTGTTGATGTGGATTTTGATACATTGGATATAAATCAGTTTAAGGTGTTACCAACTAATTATGATCATATATCAATGCATGAACGTAAAGAGCCTTTGACAGTAGATATTTATAATGGTAGTATTGCTGATCAAGATGACAGGATGTTAGGCGTTGATGCAGTTATATGTATTGAATTGTAAATCTCTGTTATAGGTTTTAATCAATAAATCAAGGCATTAATGTTTTATTTTTGATTTATAGAATTGAACATTTATACTTGGACGTTCTGGACTCATTACCCAATAATGTGTTTGAATTCATCAAACCTAAATTAGCTGTGTTTACTACACCCAATGTGGAATTCAATATTCTATTTCCAAATTTTACAACACAGTTTAGACATTACGACCACAAATTTGAATGGACTAGAAAACAGTTCAAGGAATGGTAATCATTCATAATAATATACATTTATTAATTAAATATTGTGTTTATACCAAAATTTGTTATAGGGCTAAAAAAATAACTACTCGTTATCCTGAGTACTCTGTACAATTTGATGGTATTGGAGCGGGTCCTTCTGGTACAGAAAATATTGGTTGTTGTAGTCAAATGGCCCTTTTTTACAGGAAGGATATGACAACATCTCCTGTTAAACCTATTGTAAGATGTTTCTGTAATTACTTTTAATTGTTTAAGGTACTTGATAGTAATTATATATTGGTAACCCAAAAAGATAGCAAAACTAAAACAGTAAACATAAACTTAAAATGTCAATATCTATTTGGGTGAGTTGTGATAAAATGAAATGGAGTCAACTTGCGATATAACAAATTTCAAGCTAACAAGGAAAAATTTTGTTATATTGAAAGTTTGCTAACCCAAAATTCGTTAATTGAAAACTATTTATTTTTGCATATTTTTTTTATATTCATATAATTAGTTAACATAGTATAATATTTTCAGGATTCAACTCCTTACAAATTATTGAGACGTGTTGACTATCCACATGAACTTGATGATGAAAATCATTGGGAACGGTCCATGTATGATAAGTTAAGAAAATTTGTTTCAGAAGCTTCATGCAACAAGAAGTATATTGTTGGGCACAATATAGAAATACCGTTAAATGAAATTATGCCATATGTTTCAGATTGCTGTTCATCTATAGATAAATTAGAGTTTGTACCTATACATTAAATTTAATATTTACCATAAATAATGTATGAGAATTTCTCAAAACAAGTTTTGTTAATTGTTCCAATTGATCATAAAGAACTGTAACTTAGGATTGTATTGGTAGATCAGATTTTTGATAAACTAATTAAATGCTCAGGGTAAGGTTATCTTTTAATTTAATAATTTAACAATAAAATAATGAAAATGGTAATCAATATTTAAATTTTAAGTTCACATGTAGGAGAAACCTGGATAAGATGGGACACCTAACTTTAATTGTATTTAAGAGGGTTAATATTTTATTTTATTGAAAAAACAATGATTCTTTATTATGTACAATTATGTGTAGTTTGTAAATTTTCTTATATCAGTTCTGTTATATTATTATTAATTATGCATACATTTTTACCAAACTTAAAAATTGATTTATGTCCCATCATGGACCATGGCTGAGGTAAAATGGGACATAGGTCCTTAAAGCTACAAAGCTTAAAATCTTTGTTTTTATGTATTGTATAAATATTAAATATATTAAAAACATACAATTGATGTACATTAACATTTATCAGGAAAATGATAGTTATAGTATTAAGTTTCATATTTAATGTCTAAATGATAATACCTATAGTTATATTTGCATATAAAACATTTACTTTAGTATACTTAAGTATATTCATACAAGAGGATAAATATAAAGCCAAATTTAAAACTTAAAAAAAAAAAATTGCCCCATTGTATTTTCCCTGTCTTACCCCAGATATATAATTTTAAATTTTACGTGTCTATTATTCTTATAATAAGGATAAACTCTACCAAAGTTACACTAATAAGAACCTAACAAGACTAGCCATTAAAAGTTATACAAGACTAATTAAGAATAAACAATTATTTAATTATCTATTCATTATTTGATGTTTGCAAAGCATTATATAGCATATTGCCATTCAATTCAAAGCACCCATGCACCGGATCACTTGAATTATTTGTTGATATCAAATAATATTATTATAGTGTGACCAATGTACTACAATTTTTTTTTCTCCAAAAACTTAATAGTTTCCGAGATACAACAATGTCCCATCTTACCTCTGACTAGTCCTCGTCTTACCCAGGTTTTCCCAATAGATGGTGAATTGATTGAATTGTGGACTAAAATTGTCCTAAACAAATTGAGATATTAATAACATAAAAATAATAATGATCATTTTTATTTTATGAGGGCTAAGCCCCACCTCCAATTAAAGCATACGTCAACATGTATACAAAAATATATAACCCTATTACTATTCACTTAACTTAATACATGATATAACTTACAATAATCTTGATATATTATTGAATGACTAATTTGATTATTACTTTTTTATTATTTATTTATAATTTATTTACTGTGCTTATGAAAAAAAAAAAAATACAGTATGTTTTTAACATTTATAAAAATAATATTTTGCTTTTAAGTGCATATTATAGTTTTATTTAGGGTATTATGAAATGCTTATGAGTATAAAATGTTTAATATTAAAATGTATACTTATGTTATATTTTAAATAATTTAATTTTTATTTAATAGGGATATTGTCAATAAACTCTACTACACTAAAAAAAATGATCATGGAGAATGGTTATTGATAAAAGCTTTACCAGGATTCAGTTCAGATGAATATGAATCAGACTCAGATTCATACTCAAACAATAGTGGACAGGAATACAATCTATTGGAAAATACAGTAAACCTTGACAATGATATTGAAGATTGGAATTCATCAGCTGTCTTAAGTTCTGACAAATCAAAACTTTGTTATTCTACTCCAATGACTAGGGATCCAGAACTCAAATACTATTCAAATAGTGTAGACAGTTTCAGCACAGTACATTCAAATTCTGGTTTATATAAAACAGCCGTTGATTACAATAAGACTGAAGATACTGAGGATATGGTAATGTCATTTAGCTGCAATAGTAGTATTGTTGAAGACTGTAATGTTTATCAAGACTTCAAAACAGGACAAAATAATTCTGTAATCAATGGAGAAGATGTTAATGAAACAGAAAATACATTGACATGTGTTGCAAATAATCACAAACTTTCCAATGATGGTGATAAATTAAATCACAATTATACTGGTGATATGGAAATCTCATCTAGCTACAATGGTAGCATTATTGTTGAAGACTGTATAGTTTATCAGGATTTCAAATCGGGCCGAAACATTTCTGTAAGGAATGAAGAAGATATCAGTGAAACAGAAAATACATTGACATGCGTTACAAATAGTCACAAATTTTCCAATGATGGTGATAAATTAAATCACAACTATACTGGTGATATGGAAATCTCATCTAGCTACAATGGTAACATTATTGTTGAAGACTGTATAGTTTATCAGGATTTCAAATCGGGCCGAAACATTTCTGTAAGGAATGAAGAAGATATCAATGAAACAGAAAATACATTGACATGTGTTACAAATAGTCATGAATTTTCCAATGATGATAAACTAAATGACAACATAATCAATGATAACACTATCATTAAAAATAATAGTAATATATCTTTAAAACTAAAATGTGGTTCTGATACTGCACATCAATTTAAATCTAATAATCCTGATGAAATTTGTATCACAATTAATGATGGAGTGAATGAAATTGATGACCAACTAACGGTATGCTTGAACAGGACATTATTAGATGAAAACGGTTACACAGAAATGTTGTTGTCTACTTCAGATTAATGAATCGTCAAAAAAATGAAAAAGTATAATTCAGAATTCAATTTATTATTATAATTCATAACTAAAACGGCATCATATCTTAAAATAAATGTCACAGCATTTAGTTATCTTCACAACATAATTTTGTTTGTTGTTTGATAATTGTGTTTGTTGAACGGTTTTTTTAATTTTTAAATTTAAAGATTTAAGTACTTAATTTATATAATTTTTTGTTTTATGTGTAACTTACTGGAAACTCAAGACTGTATTTTAATTTAATAACTATGATATTTTAAATAAGTGGTGAGTAATAGTATGGGTTCTCTTTTATTTTAATATTTTACATGTGTTCTAAAAAAATTGTGCTCAATTTATTACTTATTACTTATTTGTATTGAGGAATGTTGATTTAAATTGGAAAATGTTATGTTAGTTTATATACATGTTGTTCTTGTTATCAACTAATAAAAAAAAACTGCATATAGCAAATTGTATTTTACATTTTTTTTATTGGCCTAGGGAGTAATTATTGTGATTAAATAGTATTATTAGTATATGGAATTTAATTTGTAATTCTATGTAACAAAGAATTATTAACACCTGTAGGCACAATAATATAAGTTAATCTGAATAATTTATGGGCGTGGAAAATATATTAAAGTAACTGAAGCTATAAAATACTATTAAATCCATGAAATTAGAGATAGAGAATGCTAGTAAAAGAAAATTTAACAGGTAAATTTAAAAAAGAAAATCATAGTCACTAAATTAGGTAATGTAAACTTAGTTGATATTATTAAAAGAAATAATAGTTTTTAATTTTAATACCTAAGGTTTTTAAAATAAAATATAAAATTCCATGGGTATTTTTACTGGAATTTAAAAAAATGTTAAGCTTTAAGTCATATATTGTTTCATGAGTGATTGAAGTTTGGACGACATCAGAAACCTAAAATAATGGTTAGTTACATAGTTAGTTCAATAAAGTGAAAATTTCCACATCATCCACTTTATCATTTTATACACAATGAAATGTCCATTATATTTAGAACAATTTTAATCTAATTGTTGTGGCATTTGAAATTTTCTGTTTTTTTTCGTGTTAATAGGCATTTTTATGTTGGGTTAAAAAGTTTGCAAATTTAATTCAAGATCCCCTCACATGGCTTGGTTCTAAAGAAATGATTTAAAAATATCGATAAAACAGCTAAAATTTTTTTTCAATTAGGTGTTGGAAATTTGAATGTTTACAAAATCACAAACCTTAGAAAATTATTTTGTAGTTAATAATGTATAAATGTATACAATTTTTAATTTAATAAACACATTTTTAAAATGCAATACAATGTTCCTTATAAGTTTTTTTACAGAAATCTAAAAATCTCAAAAATTTCTAATCATAATTTTATTTAATATAGACATTTCGCTTTATCAAATTCTGGTGGAATCTGGTATTTAAACTATAAATAACGGTGTTAGTTCAAAAAATATTCATTGGAGTTGGATAGTTTTGACATTATGTACCCAGGTCTATTATTATTTTCTATACGCGATGACGTTGAAAATATTAAGATTAATTTTAAGCTATTTATACCATGAACTTATTCAGTATTTACTTACCTTTTATGGTTTGTAGGGGTTGTTCTTGGCCCAAGAGGAGAGAGCGAAAATATTTTACATAATTATGGACATCTACATTTTTTTGGTACCTATTTAGAGGAGAATATTAATTTTATGTGCTACCAACACAATGTATCCCTATATGAAGTAATTTGTATAATAAATGTTTATGTTTTGATGTGTATGATGAAAGAAGTTACAATACCTACGTGTGTTAGGTACGAGTTGCTATAATATGTAATTTGTTTTTGGCATAAATTAGTTCAACCTACTGGCTAGGTACCGTAATACCTAGGTACCTACTAATAGAAAAATAATTTACTAATAACAACATAAATGTATAATATAATACCTATCACTTAGATAAATAGACTGATAGACCATCTCCGCTAGGAATCGTTTTTATTTTACAATAACTTAACATTGAATTCAAATTTAACACCCACTTCACCATTCCAATGAAAATGTACACTAGTAGGACACCTACTACACAGCAGACTGACTTCTCTGGGGTTTGAATAAGCATGTATCGTTATAGCTTTTTATCACACATTTGATAGAAAACAAGGGAACAGAAAAAATATTTGAACCTACGCGAGGCACAAAGAGTAGGTAAATACCGATCGATACTCTTGTATACAGCGCTAACTGATCATGTTTAATGTTTATATTGTAAAATGTTTCTCAAACGGCAAACGCCAACCGGTAGAATACTATAATCACAGTCTCTTCGATTATCAACTATTTTTTTTTATCAATTAGCCCACGACAACATAGTTGAAGGTTATTTTTTAAGTTGGTTTTTGACTGGGGAAGGGTACTGTTGATTTGAACACGTGTATATGTGGCGAGGATTTGTCACTAAAAATCCGGGTGGTCACCCATCCGTGAGCTAGTGACACTGGCTGGTGCTTGCATTCAAAACACATTTTGTCACACAGTATATTTTCTTGAGAGTTTAAAATAAAAATTATTTGATAGTGACCAAACAATAAAGTGTAATATGATTTAAAAAAAGAATTATTACCAACCTACTAAAAATGTATTGACAATATTTAATAATTATAACGACGTGGAAGTTGTGCAAAGGGGGAGGGGGTGCTTGGTCATCAAAGTCACTGTATCATAATCACGATTAAAGATAAGATGGTTACTCAACGAGCCCTAATATTCATACAATATATGATTCTTAAATATTCTTTTCAATTTCTGTTGATAAGAACTGTGCATTAGCGCTCCAAGTGGCGAACACGGGTGTTAATTCCCCGCCAATTTATTCAATTTATAAGTTTATAACCTGACTTTACATTTATAATAATTATAATATATGATAATTATATAATTATGATATATATATATTATATAATAATTATAATTTACAAGTTTATTTTAATTTTACAACACTTTTTAGCACACCTTTCCACCTAATTTGGTAACTAAAATGAAGTGTTGTGTACCCAACTGTGTTAATCAACACAAATCTTCTTTTATTGTGCCTAAAAGTGAAATTAGGTTGAAAGAATGGCAGTCTATTCTAGGTATAAACTTAGAAAAACAATTTAGAGTTTGTGCATCACATTTTAATAAAAGTGACATCATTGATACGTGGGAGTCTGGACAAGGCTTTTCCAAATACACGGTAAGTTTAGTATCTATAATATACAATATACATTAATTAACTTTAGTTATCTACATCGTTTAATGACAACTAGCTGTATATGCTATTCTATATAGTAATAGGTAATAACTAGGTAGTTAATTTTCAATATATTATAGACAGGTATTAAATATTTTAGGTGTGTTTAAAACGACCTAAATTGAGAGAAGGTGCCGTTCCATTTCTCATTAATAGTGACACATCAATGCAAAATGTTCAGGTATTAATGTATTATTGTACTCTAATAGTCTTTTGAAATGTTCAATTAAACATATTATATATTAGTAATGTAGTATACCAAATGCCACCTAATGTATTATTGTATTTAATTAACTAGGGAGTTTCCGTTGGATCAAAATATAATGACCATAGCTACTGTCTTATCGAATGTAGTCAACCAATAAACAATGAATATGGGGAAAAAATGAACTCACCTTATAAAAAAATAAAAGTAGGTGCCTACCTAATTCAACGTTTAATAAACATTATTGTATTTTGTTTTTATACAGCTTGATGATCTAGTTGAAGAAACAGGTTTATTTAATATTATATTTAACCAAACAAATAAAATTAATTTACCGATTAAATGGTCTGTTGATACTATTATTGATGACAAACCTAAAATATTTAAAAAGTCAATTTCTTTTTATAAGATGGGACCGTTTACTAACTCATACTTCAGATTCATTGAAAAACATCTTGTATTAAAAGAAGGTGGGTATATTAATATATTTAATTATTTAAAAACATTTGAAATACATGATATTTTTAGGACCTCCCCCCCAGAAAAATTTTGAAAATCCACCACTGACATGTATAATTTAATAGAATTTCATTTGATATTACAGATTTAAATGTTATTTTACATATTTATGGCAGAGAAATATCAGTTGCAGATATTGGTTTCCCTAATTATTTGTTCAATAGCATCGAGGACTTAGAATTAGTTTTGAATGTTTTTAATAAAAGTAGGATTTGTAATGGAGCAATATCAGCAGATAAAATTACTGACTATAAAACATATTTTGGTAAACAATATGTAGAAACATGTGGTAAATGGTTCCATGAAAAATGTTTAAAAGTGTTACCTGAAGATAATAGGTAAATTGTAATACATTATACAATTATAATTTAATTATTACATTTTATTATATTTTTTTTTAATATTTAGTGATTCTTCTTGTTTATGGTGCAAACGACTGTTATATTGTGTAAAAAAAAAAATGTATAAGAGTTCAAAAAGAATAAGTCCAAGAACTTACTATTCCCCAAATAAAAAAAAAATAATTCAAAACATTCAAAAAGCCAAGAAAATTGTTGTACAAAAGTGTTCTAGAGCAAGTAAAAAAATACTAAGATTACAGCAAAGTTTAAATAACTGCAGAAAACAAATGAATGAAATAAGTAATTCAAGTCTATCTAAATTATTAGAAAATCATGCAATTCCCAAGAGCCAATCTGAACTTATACATGAGATATTTGCAGCATCCAAATTTAAAAATACTAAAAATAGAAGATATAGTGAGAACTGGACACTTCTGTGTCTTCTTTTTCAAATTAGGTAGGCACTAACATGGTAAAAAAAAAAAAAATAAGCAATAGTATTATAATTTATAGTTATATTTTTTCTTGTTTTATTCTATTTAATTTAGATCTCCTAGTGGTTACAAGTTTTTGAGGGATAATAATATACTTCCATTGCCATGTGTTAACACAGTTCGAAGAAATCTATTAGCAGTTCAAGTTGGTTGTGGTTTTGACTT